CTTTAAAGAAACTTATTATAAACCCCCTCAACAACGGAGAAGGTTTTAAATTATCCTAGACATTATACTTTTTCTTGAAGTCTCTCAAGCAAATAAAAACAGTGGCATAGGCTCAAGATTCAAACTTGTCGAACTACTTTAAAAACATTTTGTGTCCTACATTACTTTTTTTACTTCATTGCATTCTGGTTACTTTATCATACACATAGTTCTTTCACCAAGGTCAATCGATAATTCTAGTTGGTGTAATTCTGCATCAACAAATGTGCTATCAATCATTTAATTGAATACCTAGTTCTTTAAATAAAATTTAAAAATATTTAGTTCTAAATATTCATTAATAAATATTAATAAATAATAATGATTATTCTTCCATGTTTAATTGTTTAACTATTTTATTATATAACTATTATTAAATGTTGGGGCCTAACTAATTATTATTTAGTATTAATAAAATGTAATTATTTAATTCTTCTAATATCTAACTATTATTTTACTTTCTTGTTTTAAATTTTATTTGACAGTGTGGGTTTTGTTGTTGATGATGGTGATGAATTATTATTATCCTCAAAATAAAATGAATATCAATTAGCATTCTAAATACTTTTATCTCAATGTATAGATGAAGTTGTGATGTAATAATTATATGATAATAAGATATCTTTAAATATGATGACACAATATTGGTATGAATCTTTGAATAATTCTTGAGATGAGAATTTTGTAATGAATCCTTGTAGTTCCATAACTAATAAAATTAATATTATAATTTATTTCATTCATAAGTTGTTTTCTGTTACAAGTTAATCTATGAAAAGAAAGTTATCTACATATGCAAATTATAATCTGACTAATTTCCACCAATAAACACATGAAATGATACTTGTCTTCACTTAGTATTATTTTTGTTTCTAACCACCCAAAAAAAAAGAAAGGCTCAACCTAATCTTACAACTTTTTCTCACAATCCCGATGTGTTAGCTCCAATGAGCAGGTGAAACCTATAGCAGTAGGCAAGACCTATTAGAGCTGTCACGTCGAGGTTGTGAGATTAGGTTTAAGTGTAATATTACTTAAAAAAAAAAAATCAAATTTGGATCTCAAAGGACCCACTACCCAATAACACATTCACTTCTATATTTATATACAATTATATAATTAAACAAACTACTTATTAAGAACATCAAATAATTTGCACAACACTTCTCCAAAAAAAAAAAGAATAAATAAATAAATGAGTAATTAAAATACTAATTTATAAATCACACAAATACATTTAGATAAAGAGCAAATTAAAAACAATAACCATTGGTACTTGATGGTAAAAGAGCAAAGAAAGTTTCATGAACTTGAGTTTGAGTCTTAGGCATAATAGAGGTGGTCACTAGGGTCTTACTTGAAATTCTATTATTCTAAGATTTAATTATTGAAGAGTGTAAATAACCTAAACACCTATGATCCCAATAAAAAAAAAAAAAAAAAAAAGAGAAAGTAACTTAAACAGCTTCAATTAGTATAAAATTTAAAGATGGGTATAATAAGGCACAGTGCTGAATTTTGGTAAAATCAATTTGTTTGCATGCATAGACTGAGAATGGTCCCCCTGACGGCGAGTCCAGTAATTAGAGGAGGTGTGGCGGATGAGTCGAAGTGCAATAAGAATCATAGATTATTCTTGTTTCTTCCAAGATTGAATATTCCAATAAAGTTGGATTTGACAACATTGCAAATTCTTGGGACGCGTCGCTGCCCTTAAATTAAAATTCTGTGGTTTGGACCGACTATCCTCCAACCACCATTGGTGAAGTTGATATTGATATTGATATTGATATTTGATACAGATATCATCAATTCAATGTTTCTGCTTTCTCTAATTTACTCTACCTTTCATCTAACCAGAAACCAAAGAAAGCTATGTTTCTTCTACTCTTTTTAGCAACCCTTATTTAATATTTCACCAATAAAGAGTAGACACCTTCCATTTTAGGTTTGTTTATTTATGCTGAACATAGCTTGTTAGACTCAACCTTCCTCACTTGTACACCTTGAGTGCATAATTTATTAAACCAAGTATTGGTAGTTGGTCTGCATTATCAATCCCATTACTTAACATGGAATTGAAAGATAACTTCCTAAATAAATATTTGATCTATGAATTTTTAGTTAGAGCTGATTTTTTTCAAACCTCGTATAAATCAAATCAACCACTAATTATATGTATTACTTCAATTGCTTGCAACGAAAATCCTTAACTCTTTGTTCAGAATAAAAAATATACATATATTTGTAGGTTTAGGATTGAATGTTTGTTTAGCGTATGAAATTGGTTGATAATGCAAAGTGAATAATTACACTTAAATATGCAATGGGGTTCAACAAAGAATTTTAGAAAGATAATGATTTGATAATTGAGATAAGTTATTTTGGAATGAAATAAAATACATTTGTAGATTATAATTTTTAATAAATTTAATTAATAGGGCTTACAAAGAGATTTAAGAGTATCTCCAAAAGACTTTTTATATGACCTAAACTTTTTATTATAAAGAGTCTATCTATAAAAACAAGAGTCCAACATACTCTTTATCCTTTAAATATAAATTAAGAGTGAGTTTGATTCTCCATATCTAGAGAGTCAAATTTCACCCTCTATCCTAATTTTAATTAATAAATTATAAGTTTCTATGCATTTTATTTATTAATTCTTTCTCCCACTAAGTTTTTTTTTTTTTTTTTTTTATTAATTCTTTCTCCCACTAAGTTTTTTTTTTTTTTTTTTTAAATAAAGAGTATCTTCCTTAAATTTAAAGAGTTCATTTGATTTAAATAAAAATTTTATTCTTTATATTTAGAAATTAATGAAGATACTCTTTAAAATAAAGACTGTCATTGGAGATGCTCTAATATGACTCAAATAACAACACTCATCAAATAAGAGAGTGATGTTATTGGCCCTTATATTTTATCTTTCATGACCCCGTTTCTAAGTTTATCCCATTAAAATGTTTTAGCATATACTAATCTCTTTATAAACCCCATGTACTTCCAAAAATACCCTTTTATTTATATGCTCAATATTTTTTATGCTTCTTGTTTTGAATGTTAATGTTTTGAGATCAAATCCATTCATATGTGTTTCTACTTCAAAGATTGTAAGAATAATAATTAAGAAATTTGAGTGTATCAATTAACTTATAAATTTTGGGAAAATACAAAAGTAGAGAAAAATTAAAGAGGAAAATTACAAACCAAAAAATTTAGTACTTGTATGATCTCGATCAAATTCTTTCAATTACATAAATCCCGTCTCTACTATTTGAAAAAAGAATAAGGTTTATGATTGAAAGATGAAATAAATTTTTTTAGATATATATAACTCTTTTATGTCTTATACAATAATTTTAATAAGGGATAAAATTATCTTTAAAAAATTAATAGTATTTGGGGGTAAAGAGATCAAATGTGAGGGGCCAATAGTATCACTCAATATAAAATTAGTGATGTCGTTGGAGGCCTACTCAAAACTCTTTCCAAGCCTGAAAATTAATTTCTTAAAATTTTTTTTTTTTTTTATGTAATATTACCATAATAGGCATTTTTACTTTTAAGTATATTAGATTAATTTATAGATACTTTTATTCATTAAAAAATCTGAGTTTCGTTTTTGATTTGATGTTGTCTTCTCTTCTTTTCGCATCCTTTATTGGTGAGATGAGTCATGAGTTAGATTGGACTACTCAGATGAACCAAAATTAAGAAATCAAAGGGTTGTATATGTAAACTACCTTTAGTGATTGAGTGGTTTTATAAGAACTCTTGGATGTATTACTTAAGAAAGTCTTGAGTTCGATTAAAGCTCTTATTCGACCAATAGTTTCAAAGCACCAGATGCTTAGTTGAGGTATATGTAAGCTAGTCCGAACACCCCAGTCTTTAAAAATAAAAAAAAATTGTATGCGTAACCAGGAAGAATTAAAACAATGTTATGCTCAAGGAAGCAAGAGGCAGTTTAGGGTTTGTAATGATGACATGTTGATGGCTGTTTAATCTCTATACAAAAGGTGGTTGAAAGTGGAGTGGCACTGAATGTTTCCTTGATTTGTGGTTAAGGGTGGATGACGGTGAACATAGAGAACAAAGAAGAGGAGAATTACCAAAATGTAAAGAGAATTATTGCAATATAAAGAGAACAGAGAATAGGAGAGAACGAAGAACAGAAGAATTATAGGACTGTAAAAACTTAATTACATTTATCTAAACTCATCCATTAGAATTCAAATACTTTAGAATTTTACTTATAAATAACTGTTTAGAAATCACAAACTAGATCTATAGAGAAACGATTAAAAAAAAAAGAAGACGAAGAAAGTTTTTTAAATGGAGGCTTACAAAGAATTTGAACGTGGCTTAATTAACACCACTCAAACAAAATTCCCCACAAAATATATGAACAATTGTGGGTCTGAGCCACATTCCTTGGACTTGGGTAACCGTTCTTGGGCAAGATTGGCCCAATTTTATGACTTCTGAATATAAATGTGTATAGTTAATCCTGGGTACTGATCTTTGAACCCCATTGATTTTGTTAATAGCCTCACCTTCTTTTGTTGTAAGGGTAAAATTGTAAAGTTAATGAACATTTAAAAGAATCCTTTTTAAAGGATTTTGAAGGTAAACTTTTATTTATAATCTTTAATTGCTAGTGATGATTTTGAATGGAGGAAACGAGATTGGTTCACATTCATAAGACTAGTTTGTATTTAGTATTAGAAAATACTGCAGAAACCAAAATCAGTTAGTTAGTTAGTCACGTGTACATAGTAAGTTTGTTAGCTGTTGTAACTCATTATAGTTTTCACACTTCCCTCTGTATATATATGTGTGTGTATGAAGCAATTGCTTCAGAACTTTCAATAATACAATACATCAATTTTTCAACTGTTATTTTTCTTCATGGTATCAGAGCTAAGTTTTTTTTTTAACTTAACTAAATTTCATCAATGGCAACTCCTGCAACTTCAATCGATCCTACACAAAATCCATCTAGCCCTTATTTTCTTCATCCTAATGAAAATCCAACTCTTGTTCTAGTATCTCCAGTGCTTACAAGCACCAATTACCATTCTTGGGCACGAGCAATGAAGATGGCTCTGCTTTCCAAGAATAAATTGAAGTTCGTTGATGGTTCTCTACAAGCACCTTCAAGCATTGATCCTTTATATCTTGCTTGGGAATGCTGCAACACCATGGTATTGTCCTGGTTGACTCATTCTCTTTCCCCTTCTATTACTCATAGTATTTTGTGGATAGATAAGGCTTTTGATGTGTGGAATGATCTCCGAGAGAGATTCTATCAGGGAGACATCTTTAGAATCTCTGATCTCCAGGAAGAAATTTATGCGTTTAAGTAAGGAGATTGAACTGTCACAGATTATTTCACTGAACTAAAAATTCTTTGGGACGAATTATTGAATTTCAGGCCTATTCCTTCTTGTTCTTGTGTAACTCCTTGTTCTTGTGGTGCATTTGCTACTGTCAAAAAAACCAGAACAACGATTACGTCATCAGGTTCCTTAAAGGTCTTGGTGATTAGTTTGCTGCTGTGAGATCGCAGATTATGCTTGTGGAGCCCTTACCTTCAATCAATAAAGTCTTTTCTTTGGTGATATAGCAAGAAAGACAGATGAGCTTGGGAGCTTCCAAGGTATTTGTTGCTAAGACTATTTGAAATGAATCCTCCAACAAGAAATTTGATGGTTCACAGTCATTTGCTAACCATGCTAATGGAGATAAACGATTTTGTACCTTTTGTGGTAAACCACGTCATACCATTGAAACATGCTATAAAAAGCATGGTTATCCACCTGGCTATAAACCCAGAAATTATAATTCAGCGGCACATAATGTAGTTTCTGTAGAAGAAAATGAGTCCTTTGAGAACTTCAGTCCCAATCTTGATCTTCCAAAAGGGAATCTTAAGCCTACAAACGTTTCTTTGACTCAAGAACAATATCAGCAAGTGTTGGCCTTACTCCAGTCATCTAACATTGAGAAACCTTTGTTGTCACCTCATCTTACCAATCAAGTCACCACTCAACATCACACCCTTACTTCCAATTTTTCATCCCTACCAAGTAATCACTTTTCATTCTCTTGTTTTTCTAAATCCGAATTATGGATTGTTGACACAGGTGCGACATATCATATCACTCACTCTTTGTCTTCATTTACAATTGTTATGCCTGGAAAAGTAGGGCTGGTGCATAGTCTTGTCAGCATGAGGTGGCCAGAAATTAAGAAGGTTCAACGACCGCTCAGAGGCTGCCATGTCGCGTGATGACGTGAGTGGCATGCTCCTGCCAGTGTAATGGATATACGCCAGGTTGGCGAATGGTTGGAAACCGTCCACGTGTCCGATCCTTGCACAAGTCGAGGAAATCACTCAGACAGGTGAGCAATGTGATGCAGGGAAGGATTTGCACGATACCTACCCGACTTGCAGATTTAGTAATCATTGCCTTGACCAATCCCACTATAAATAGATGATTTCTCTCTCATTTGCGGGATTGGCTAATTTCACTCTGGAATATCATTCTCTCTCTCTCTCTCTTGTATTCTCTAAGCTGCAACTTAGCTTGCTAAACTCGACCTGACCCTACTTTCATTAATACAATATCAGTGGACGTAGGATTCGCTTGCGAGCATCCGAACCACTTTAAACATTGTTCTTCACCCTTACCAAATCAAATACTTTCGTAATCACGTGTGACTTCCAAGCCCGCTTAGCATTTCTCACGTGTGTATAGTTGGTGCCAAAATCAAGCATCAACAGTTTGGCGCTAGAAGGAGGACTTTATTTAGTACCCGTTCTTCATCAGGAGAATCTCTGACTAATCGGTCCTACTACAGCAAATAGCTCGCGGTTTCGAATCTAAGCGAACCAATCATGGCAATGAAGAAATCCCCCAGGTACAAGAGGACACTTCTCCTGAAGTGCCCCCAACTCAGCAAAATATCGTGGGGGTTATCCCTTCAAGTTCACGGCTTGATCCAGCCGTCATGAATTACCTGGAGAGGTTTAATAATACTCTCCAAACGGTCAGCCAAGGGCTAAACCGATTGGATCTGGTCGTGCCACCCGAATCAAGGCAGTGCCACCGCCGAAAACTCTTGCAAGTCGCGTAAAAGCGCAGAAAAGGGCAAAAGCCTATATCACGCGCACTGCAGCGCGTCAAAGAAAGGGAAAGCAAGTGGCGCACAACGGACCTAAAGGCTCCGAGGGACCAGCGAACACTGATCATGCCCCGGGCATAATACCTGTGGCGTTGCGACTCGATGACATGTCACGGCCTGAGCCATCCTGTGGCACGTCGTACGAGCACTCCCATAAAAGTGCTAGGCGAGGAGATTCCTATTATCGCCAAAATGACAGCTCTGATCGTCGTCATGCAGGGGATTCCCACCGTCCGCAGGTCGGCTCACACCACCGCGAGGGTTGGGATGATTCCCCGAATCACTCAACACCATCACACGACTCCAGCCAGCGTGTGTCAAGATTGGCCGAAACTGTCGGCCGCGGCGAAGAGGAATCAGACTTGTGGTCGTTCCTCAACCACAACCGTGAGGGTTGAACCCACGTTGCGAAAAATAATCCCCAGTTGGCTCCGCTGCCTCATATTGAGGAGCTATAATAAGCTCTGGATCAGTTTAAGGCTCAGCGAAATGAGCAAGGGAAGGTCTTAGAGGCGTCTCCCTTTTCTCCGGCAGTGTTAACTGCTCCCCTCCTGTCAAGATTTAGAATGTCCGACATGCGAGCATTCAATGGGAGTTTCAATCTGCAGGATCATCTGTACGAGTTCAACAACCTCATGGAATTCCACCAAGTCTCTGACTTGGCAAAATGTCATTGCTTGGCGGTAACCCTTATCTCCCATGTCAAGCAATGGTTCAGGTCGCTCCCAGCAGAATCAATCGGCTCGTGGCCTCAAATGAGCTCGACATTTCTGAGGCACTTCCAGGCGAACAGAAAGTTCTCAATGTCGCTAAGCTACCTGAGCAATATAAGGCAAGAGAAGGATGAGCCCCTCTAATCTTATATTGACAGGTTTCACAAGGAGCTCCACAAGGTAGCTTACACTTCCGAAGAGTCCGTCCGGACTCTCATATAGCGGAAGTTTGCCCACAGACAGACCTGTGGAGAAATTGCTGTCTGAAGACAATGTTTCCCTCGCCTGCTTATAAAACTCTAAGGCTGCGCTTGACCACCACGACCCCAGTCCTTCGAGCGGTGCTCCCAACCGGGGGGAGAACAGGAAGGCTGATTGCAGATGGGCTAATGATGATCAGCGAAAAGGAAAAAAATAGCGATACGAGCCCAAGAAATCCTACGCCCCAGTTCCTCATCGCAATTGTGACAAGAGTCAATACACCCCTCTGAATGCCTCAGTATCGGCTATTCTGGATAAGTCAGAGGAGGCCGGTTTGCTCGAAGAGCCCGAGCCCATGAAAAATCCTTCTTCAGCTAGAAATAATAAAAAATACTATCGCTATCATCGGGATAATGGGCACCACACCGATGAGTGTCGGGCCCTCAAGCAAGCAATTAAGGCCCTCATTAAGTGGGGGCACTTTAAAGAGTATGTCGATGATTCTGCTTTCATTCGGGAGAAAAATCAAGAGAAACCCGGAAAGAAGTGTCGTGGTCACAAAGGTCTCTACAGTGTAAGGATCATCTTTGGGGGACCACATCTCACAGGGAATTCGCAAGGTGCTCATGAAAGATATGCCCGCGTAGCCCGTCATGACCCTATAAGTGTGCTGAGTACGACGTCGCGACCAGCAAAGGTTCACAAAGAGGAGGAAGTCACCTTCTCTGAGAAAGACGCGGTACGATTGCATTATCCCCACGATGATGCTCTCGTTATCACGCCCGAAATAGGGCGGTGTGAGGTCCACAGAATGTTGGTGGACAATGGAAGCGCCATAAACATCTTGTTCCAACGAGCTTTCAAAAGGATGAAACTAGATGAGACCAATCTGAAGCCTACCTCCATCCCTCTGTATGGTTTCACCGGGGATCATCTGATTCCCAAAGGAATGATATTGCTCTTGGTCACGTTGGGTGATACCGTTGAAATAACCAAAATGATTGAGTTCCTGGTAGGGGACTGTCTATTCGCTTTCAATGGCATCTTGGGACGACCTCTACTATGAAGCTTCAAAGCAGTCACCTCAATCTATCACCTAAAGATGAAGTTTCCCACCCCGATGGGGATAAAGGAAGTAAGCAGATCTCAACGCACATCTCACGACTGCTATGTAAGGGCAGTGCAGATAGCATGCAAGGGAAAAGGCACTCCACTTGGCATCCATGAATAGGCAATAGTGGTCTGCAGGATCGAGCCACAACCTCGCCCAACCGAGGATAACATGGATCCTCATATCTAGGAATGCCCTTGCAGTAGGCCGGTTGAGGACCTATCTGAAATATCAGTCAATCAGAGCAAGTCGAGTCGAGTGTTGAGAATTGGAAGTAATCTCAACCCCCAGCTCGCCAGCAACCTGACCAGCTTCCTCAGGGAAAATGTCAACGTGTTCGCATAGACTCATGCCAACATGGTCGGGATCAGCCCGAATGTCATATGTCATGCCTTGAATATTGATAGTGAGGTTAGGCCGCTCCGCTAGAAGAGAAGAACAATGGACCTGGAGCGATATGCTGTCTTGAAAGTTGAGGTAGATAATCTCCTCCTGAACAGATCCATCCGAGAGGTACTCTACCCGAGCTAAGTTGCCAACCCGTTTTTGGTAAAGAAGCCTAATAGGAAATGGCGGACATGTGTTGACTTCACCGACCTTAACAAAGCCTGTCCAAATGACAGCTTTCCCTTGTTGAGAATTGACCAGCTCGTTAATGCCACCTCTGGGCACGAGCTGTTGAGTTTTATAGACGCCTACTTGAGATACAATCAAATTCTGATGTACGCATTGGACGAAGAGCATACCTCTTTTGTTACAGATCGAGGATTGTATTGCTACAAGGTTATGCCCTTCGGCCTAAAGAACGTTGAGGCGACTTACCAGCGACTAGTTAACCGAATGTTTTCCGAGCAAATCAGAAAATCAATGGAAGTCTATGTTGATGACATGCTGGTCAATTCGCATGTCGCTTTAGATCACATAGCGCACCTCGCTGAGATGTTCGGTATACTCCGAAGGTACAAAATGAAGTTCAATCCTCTCAAGTGTTCGTTTGGAGTATCTTTGGAAAAATTTCTAGGGTATATGGTTAACCAAAAGGGAATAGAAATCAACCCCGAAAAGATCCAAGCTCTCCTTGATATGAAAAGCCCGATCAACCGAAAACAAGTTCAAAGTCTCAATAGGCGAATAGCAGCTCTTAGTCGCTTCA